TTTATCTGAATGAGACAATAAAGAATGTCACCAGAGCCAAGATTAATGGTAAACCTAACTAAGGTATTTAGTATCTACAAGTTCTATACAAAGAAGGTAGAACACAAATAATTATTAGGGATAATTATACCTATACCTTAAAAATTGTTGAAGATTAGAATGTATAAATTGAATACATCTATTTTGGTAACAAATGCTAAATCGGCCGGCATATTTCTGTTCAACTCTAAGTCAAGAGCCGGAAATTCTTCTCTGAAAAGGGTCATAAAGTAAATATTTTAGGTTTTGCAAACCAAGAGGCAAGGTCAAGGGTATTATGTAGGTTCTTACGTAACAAGAAAAAAAAATAAGGTTGCACAAATTTCTATTGGTAAAATTCAAAATATAGTACTAGGAACCATGTACAAATTCCCTGGTATTACTTCTCTACTAACAAAAAGAATGGTGGGGTAGAGTGACATTTTGCATAATTGGGTTCATAAGTTAGCATTCCTGCTTATCAAATCAATGTTGCAAATGTTCATCTCTAAAGCGTGAACTTTATAAAACAAACAAAAAGTCTGGACATACTTACACTGTCATTCCTTGTTCTAAATACTAAAATTATTTGAGAAACTAATTAAAACACTAAGACCACAAACCTCTGAATTTCCAAAGGTTAGCTTCTAAAGGAAGAAATTAATTTGAGTACTTTTAAAATTCTTTTAAAAAATATTTATGTATGTATGTATCCAAGAACTGGGATACAGACCAGAGGTACAGGTGGGGGAGAATTCACCAGAGACAGAGTGGGGAGCAGAACAGGCAGATAGTGTGAAGTACACTGCTGAGGGGAGCAGCAGGTCAGTGAGGAGAAGAGGTCTGCCATGCCATGTGGGTCAACTCCCATTGGGAATTGAACTTGCATTTCAGTGGCTGAGGGCAGCTTCATAGCATTGTGCTTTAATCCCTTGCATCACCAAGGAGGGCCTTAATTTGAGCATTAAAATACTTTAACTTCTTAACATAAAGTGCATAATCTTTAAAAACCGTTTCTATGAAACAACTTACTCTTCCTAGATTTATAGCTGCTGTCTAACAAAGAATACTAAAGGCACAAAATAAATTTAATACTTTAAAAAAAATTTTTGAATCCAAGTTACCGAGGAGTAAAAACAACTGCTGAAAATTCATATATCCAGAGATATTTGGCAGAAACTAGAGGAACATTGGGGCCTTCCCTAGTGGCTCAACGGGTGAAAGTGCAGTACTATGAATCTCTCCACCACCACTGAAGCACAAGTTCAATCCCTGGCCAAGGAGCTGACCCATATGGCTGGCAAACCTCCCCTGTCTCACCCACGGCTCCCTTCAGCAGTGTATTTCAGCCAGTCTGCCTGTTCTGCTCTCCACTCTGTCTCTGGTGAATCTTCTGCACCTCTGGCCTGTACCCCAGTTTCTGTATGCACAAATAATTAAATCTTAAAAAAAGAAAGAAAGAAACTAGAGCAACAAAAAATAAACTAAGACTAAATGTTGGAGGATAGCAAATGAAATATTGTGAAGGAGAGAGATGGGCTTTCTCTATCAAACACTGAGAGGAAAGGCAGATACTAATCCACTAAAATTGAGTGAAAATGTATCTTGAAGACTTTGGCAATATTAATTGGAAGTAAAGTTTCTTAAGTTACTCTGCTTATTTACTTAATGATGTCCTATCCAACTCTATTAATTTAAAGCTATTTATCATCACACTTAGCAAAAAGTATACCTTACCATATTTTTCAAATTAGCTTTATTAAATTAATATCTTAGTCTCACCAAAAACAGCTCTAGTTTAGAACATTACATTTGTGGTAGAAAGTTGTGTCTGCCTCCTACAATTGCCAAATTAAAGGAAATATTCATTTCTTGTTCCTAATACTAAGTGAAGATACTAAACTTTACTGGTAAAAGTGAAACTAAATATTTAAAAGTTTTTAGCTTAAGAATAACATTAGTAACTATAGTTTTCTTATAACTTCATTTTATTAGATTTTGGGAAAAAATCTAAAAGCCAATTAAATAAAACAGATAAGCCTACTGGCAAGGAAGGCAAATTTAACGCCAAATATAAGCACTAAATATAAAAACATAAAGTTATTTTTTAGTATAACTCTCCTAGGAGAAGGATAAAGATCCAATGATTATTATATTTAAAAGTGTGAATTTCTGGTGGCGCAGGGCTTAGACAGTGCTATAAAGCTAAACACAGCTCCATCCTCTGCCAGCGAAGGAGCTAATCTACAAGGTGAGGCAGACCTGCTCAGCAATGTATTTCAGCAGATCTGCCTGTTCTATTCCCCACTGTCTCTGGTGAGTCCACTCACCCTCCCCCACCCAGCCTCTGGTCTGTACCCCAGCTCTTGTGGGCATAAATAAATAAATCTTTTTTTTAAAGTCTGAATTTCTGATCTTATTAAAGTCTTATTAAAAAGTCTTATTAAAAAGCATGCTGATTGACTTCTCCTTTACCCTCATAATTTGATTTATTATAGTAATGGAGGTTCTTAGAATTTTCAAAATTAAGAAAATAAACTAAAGACTATAGTATGGAAATGGATATTGGCAAGAATTTTGAGTTATCTGTTTACTTTTAATAACCCTTGGCATATGTCCACCTAAAAGTAGCTAACAAATAAATGGTAGATGGAAAACAAACTGAGGAAGCAAGCAAGTGTGCTTTGGGAAAGTTTCCTAAGTATTTTCTAAGATCTCCAGACCCAACTTAGAACCAATTCTGCATCTAGTTAACACTAATTTGTTTGAACTGACACTATTTGCAAGCTACAAGTCAGTGTTTGTACAAAATTCCTAATCATTCCTAATTTTCATTTCAATGACACTGCAATTGGAAGTCATAGAATTTTAGAGTTGAACAGCATTTTAGGGGCCATCTAATATGAATCTTTTGGCTCAACAAGTAAAATACCGAAACTCAAAAATACATCTAGAATCAAAAATTAGGGAACTACAGAGCTGGGACTTTCCCACCCATGCCTGTGCTATAATAATTTCACTGTCCTTTCAATAAGACCATGGAACAAGGATCATTTCAGGCAATTCGAAATCAAATTTCTATACGTGAGGACTACTTAAGAAACTTCCATTTCAACAACAATTTAGTGTAAAGAAAACTATTTTATTTCAGATGCCAAAAATTTTAAAAATTTTTCACAGTACAGCAAATATGAACAGAAACTCAGTTCTGACAATTCAGTCGGTATCCTAATATAAAATTCCTAATAATCTCTATTTCCTCTTTGTAATCTCAGAAGTTTACATAAGATAATCAAATCTCTAATGTTAAAACACTTTCTTTTACTAAGGATCCTAGTGTAGTGTGAAAGCTTGAAGGTGGGAATCAAGACATCTAGATTTCTGTCTCAATTTTGCAACATTACTCTTGAGCTTATTTATCAAATGTATATATTCCTAACTCCATTTCTCATCTCTTGAATAGGAAGCATCATAATAACTGCAACTTATTATACAAACTTAGTGCCAGGAACCCTATGGTTATTATCACATTACAAGACAAGCGAATTTACCTACTTCACAAGTGAGGAACTTGAGCTCAGAAGATTATATTTTCAAAAAAACTGAACTAGTTAGTGGCTGAGCAGGAATCTAAGCCTCAGCCCAAATCCTAGAATTAAGTACTTAGCTCACATTCTGCTATGGGTGACCTAGTGTGATTAGAACATCTCCAGAACTATAACAGGGAATTAAAAAACGATAAAACAAAGTACATGCTGAAAAATATACTATGTCAGTCTCTAGCTATTTAACTGAAAATAAACTTTAGATAAAAGATTTTAACTCTATGCTAGAAGTGTTATTGTTGATCTTATTATTGTAGAAATAAGCAATGTACAATTTAAAACATAATTTGCTTGTAGAGACAACGTAAGTTAAACTAGAAAATAGGCTATTCAAGTAGTTGAAGTAAAATTACTCTAAAATTTCCATTAGATCACATGCATAAATTTAGAAGTATTTAATAATATTACAGGGGAGGGAAATGACATGCAATATAATGGAAGAAATCAAGTAACTAGATCAGTTCCTGCCTAACAGACAAAAATATGCTCAAATATAGGGGAAGGAGGTGGAGAGTGGAGAATGAGCATGTGTTTAATACAGGAATCTATACAAAACACTTGCATTCTAGTATCAACGATCTTTACTACCATAAATAAAAAATAATATGATTGCTGCTTTAACATAAATTAGAAATTAAGATGCTTCCCTATGTTTCTCTTAAAGCAATCAAATGTTCAGTAGGCAAAACAATACTTACTCCCTAGTGTAACTGACAATTTTTCAGTTTAAAAGAAAAATCTAGGGAGGATATGAGACAGTTACTAAAAAAATGCAGCGCAAAAGCAAACCAGAACTGAAGTTTCAGGTTACCTTTTACCTATAACATGGTCTACAACAAAAAGCATCTACTAGCTCAAAATTAAAGGTACTATACACAATTCGGTTATAAATATGAATGTGACCTTTTAAAATAAAATCAACACCTCTGACTCTGGGATCTCTTTCCAACAATGGCCAAGGTGTTAATCTCTTGGATTACTCTAAGGCCCTAGAACAACCCTTACACAGGTAAGTACACGCTGATCATGTCAATTCTCCCGGAAATATATCTAAATGTAAACTTTTTCCAAACCTATTTTTAACCTCTGTTGGAGGCAAAAACCCTCCATGGTACCACACAAACGGCCCTTTAAAGGGATGTTCTTTATCAAATCCACCTTCTGGCTGAATATTCATTCTCTAACGTGTGAGCGAGAGAACTTCTGACGAAACTGCAAGTTTAAGAAACCCACGGAAAAGGAAAAGCGGAAAGGTTTGGGGGGCGGGGGGGCGGGGCCCGCCTGTCAACCTCCAGGAAGCTGAAGATGGAAAGGGGCAGGCGAGGAGGACCCCGCTCCCAAGCAGAGTCAACTCCCCCTGCCGCTCCCTCCCCTCACCTCGATCTCGCGGATGTTGTTGGAAGTGACGAAGATGCCAATGCCAATGGGGATGAAGATGAGGCCGACAATGAAGAAGGTAGGTAGCACCGTGCCAGCCGTAAGAATGGGTTGCCAAGCCGGCAGCCGTTGCTGTTTGAAGGCCGTGTTATCCGGTCTCCGGTTCTTAGTAGTGCCCCCCGGAGGCAACGGGGGCCCACCATCCACTTCATCCTTCGCGTTATAGTTCATCGCCATTGACCCCCAGGGCACGGCTCCGCGTCGCGCAGGTGGACCGCCCAAGGGACCCGCCTGCTGACCCTGGCCGGAGATGCGCAGGCGCCGCCGCTGCCGCCGCCGCCACCTCCACTGTAAAGGCGGAAGAGGCGGGACACCCTTACGCAAACGATCGCTGACCGGAAGCAGGAGTCGGCTGTGGATGCCGGAGGGAGAGAGAGCGGAAGGAGGGAAAAGACTGAGGGACCAGGGGCGGGGAAAGGGGGGGGAAGAAAGAAGGGGGAGGGATAAAGGGGGTGCACCCTGATCATCTGCCCTGTGACGACAAAGTGCAGGCCGGAACCCACTGAGCGTGAAGCTACGTTAGCGCTTGCGCGGCCTTGGGCTAGACAAGGCGTCGGCGCTTGCGTGGTGCGCGTCTTGTAGTCGCTCGCCGTCTGGTAATCCTTCCAGCTGTTTTGGTTGTCATGGCGACGGCTGTTGTAGGTCTCTGGTACTGTCTCGTAGGACTGGCCCACATTCGTCAACTCTGGCGCTTCTGATAAAGAAGTCTTTTAAGGTGACTTCTGCTCCGAACAGGTTTTTATTTTACCTTGAAGCCCTTTCTAGAGGGAATCGAAACATTAAAGAGATCACACTTAGGGAATTTGAGTCCAGTGGGATTGACATTATTTAATCAGACTTTTTCCAATGAAAGTAAACCTCCACTCTAGGTGCAAGTATAAGTGTTTAAGGGAGATGCATGATAGGTACTCTTGTCCTAGAGCCAAGAATAAAGCCAAAAATATCGTGTGATATGGTTAACCCTGTTATCTAGTCTCTCAACTATTCTCGTTTATTTTTCCTCCACTAATGAGCGTCGTGTGTTACTTTTTACTTTTTCCGTGCCCGCGTTTGTCTTGCATATTAATCTGAGACGTTTTCTGTTATAAACTAACTCTTTACCATTAGGTTATTACTGTGAAATGAGATACTAAGCAGACAGTTTGGGTAAGAAAAGATTAGACCTTTCTGTTTTTGTTCTTTTGTATTGGCGAATTTAGTCAACATCAAACAGATTTATAAAAGGGAAAAAAGTTTAAACAGGTATATCTACAGTGTACACGGGAGGAGACCTAGTAAAAATTGAGTAACTTGTCAATGATTTAGTCATTTTAAATCAGCTGAAGACAAGAAGGGGTGGGGAGGAATTGGGAGTTTTTCATAAAATGTACTGTAATGCAGATTTAAATTGCAAATTTTACCTATGATGTGAGTTAGATTCTGTCTCTCCCTAAAGTCTGGAGACACCCTTACAATGGAAATTTTCCTTGATAACATGTCAATCTCTCTACTAAAGGGCAACCTCCACCCTGCATCCTGAACCCTTCCTAAGATGATATCGTTGTATCTGAGACACTATAGAATGGCAAAATTGCTTCCCTATGCTTTAAAATTGTCAAGTATTTAGTGTGATCCAAGGCAATAATCATGATATAAAGTGACCAAATCCCGTAAAACCCAACTAAAAATTAAATAGTAGAAACCTCTCTGGACTAGAATGAGAAGATTTTTCTTCTACTTTGCACGTTACTGTATTTTCCAAAATGTATACAGTAAGTATATATTTGTAAAGATCTTTTCAAACCATGCAATCCACATGATACTGGAGTTTTTGAAATCCTGAGATTTTAAGGTCATCCTCTTGTAACAGGATGGTCCTAGGAAAAGGTAAGTTCCAGGTTCCTTGTCCCACCCAGAAGGAGGGTGGAGCTAAGCAAAGAAAAATCTGGAGAGAAGACTGAAGAGGAAGGAAGTTGGATGGAGAGCCAGGAGGAGACCGGAGGGAGGCCCATGGAGCAAAGAGACATGTGAAGCTTTGTCTTGTTTCTTGGTCCTGGACTGGCTGAAACAGATGGAGTGAGAGACCCATGCAGAGGAGGTTAACAATGGCAGTGTTTTTCTTGATTTTGATTTTGTTCTTTTCCTCTCAGACTTGTCTGGCCATTTCTGACCTTTTTCTGTGGGTCCCGATTAGAAGGTGTTTTAGTCTTGTGGCGAGCTTTCAGGCCTTGCTTTGTGCCAATCCCTTTTGGGTAGACTTTTATCCACGAGGGGATGGATAACTTTGGGTGTTTCATTTAGAAACTATATTCTTTATATTTACTATATTGCACACTGATTTTATTAAAGTTCCTTTCCATGAAAGGTCTTACATGTTTTGTCTTGATGCAACAGATGGCAGAGCCTATTTAGAGCAGCAGGTAGGTTTGGATTTTCAGGGTTGTCCCTCTCCTTGCCCTGTAACACTCTGACTTTGAAAGTAAGTCATCATCAGAAAACAAATACCCAGATTTTATTTTCTGTCTATTACATCATCCGTCCACTAAATGTGATGGTTTCTTAAGGGATTTGCTACTCTAGTATTCTCTATAAATAATCTATTATTTTGCCTTGTTTATTTTTATTGTTGCTCTGACATGTCTGATCACTATTTTTAGTTTTAGTCTTTGAAAAGATTATTTAACACCTTGTCTTTTTTTTTTTTTTTTTTTTGGAACTTACACTTTTATAGGCTTGAGGATTTGAAAGCTTCCTCTTCCTGGATTTTTGAGTAAACCTTAATTTTCAGATGAGGGCCAAATGGATTGTAACAGGATGGTCTCCAGCATAAGGGGAGGCTCCAGATTTTTCTGTCCCACCTAAAGATGAGTGGAGCTGAGCAGGGGGGGTAGGGGGTGGGGGGGGGAAAGCTGGAGAAGAGACTTGGGTAGGAAGGTTGGAGAGTAAAAAGGAGACCAGAGGGAGGACTTGTGAAGAAGCTGCACTTGGATTTGGATTGAAACATATGTGGATGAGAGACCCATGGGAGGTTAAGAGTGGTAGCTTTATCTTGATTTTGATCTTTCTCTTCCAAACTTGTCTTGCTGTGTTTGACCCTTTTCCATGGGCCCCTGCCAGAAGGTACTTTAGACTTGTGGCAAACTTTTAGGCTTTGCTCTGGGCCAACCCTGTTTGGCTGGACTTTTAAACCATTGATTCCTCAGAGTGGCTGGTGCATATGCATTGGATGATACATTGTAATAACATTAAATTATATCTGTATTGTTCAAATAATTTTTTTCATTTTCTGATTCCTGGTAAGAGAATTTATATAGCTAAATGACATTGAGCAGTACTGGCTACCAGATCACCATGTTAAGAGATACCAAATGCCAGTCTCAGTTTCTCTTACCCAATAAAAGGAACCAGTGTTTGAGGAGAAGAAGAGTAGTTTAACTTGTGGACAAATTGAGGAGGGCAGCAGACTGAAAGACCATTGTCCTGCTTGGCAAAGGGCAGGGGTATCTATCCAGAGTTACAAGGGTATAGAAGGGGGAAGTGGGCAAGGGTCAGCATGATTATCTCTGCAACACAGGTGTCTGGAACTTTTGGTTAAGACCAGGCTGCTTTCTCTATCATCTACCTGGTGGTCAGCAATAAGATGTTATCTTCCTAATGGTCTTTTCCCTCCCAAGCTAAGAAAATAATGTTGTTCAGCCTATAGGGTAAGCGAGGACATGAGAGAGCTTATCTGGTGGGACAGAAAGACAAGCCCCTTCTGTCTTCCTTTATACTTGTTTCATAAGTGTCTATAAATGCATGAGCCTAAATATAAAAGTAAATTCAAGAAATTAAACAGATACAAATCCAACAATCAGTAAAGGTGTCTATGACTACCTTTTGGAAGGGAAGTTTTTTAATTCAGTTGGCTGTGTTCAGGCCACTGAACTAGATAGCCAGAAATACAGAGGAAAAAAATTATTGAGTAACTAAGCAGTATCTTGGGAATTAAGAAAAGGAAACTGGGGATTCCCTGGTGGTGCAAGGGGTTAAAGCTCAGCACTGTGAAGCTACCTGCAGCCAGTGCAGCAGGAGTTCCACCGTTGACCCCCACCAGGTTGCTGACCCACATGGCACAGCAGAGCTCTCCTGACCTACCCACTGCTCTCCTCAACTGTGTACTTTGTCATCTGCCTGTTCTGCTCCCCAGTCTGTCTCTGGTGAATCCTCTCACCCCGACCCCCTGCACCTCTGGCCTGTACCCCAGCTCTTGTATACATAAATAAATAAATATTTAGGGGGAAAAAAAGGGAAGCAAAGTGCCACAGCTATTTTTAGACTCTTCTGGTATCTTGTGTTGCTTTTAGCTCTTTAACTTCTAACCACACTCACATATGTTGCTTAGCAATATTTAAGAAAGTTGAAAAAAGCTGAGAAATGTGCCATCTTGTTTTTGTCTTTTCTTTTAACCAGCATAAATTTCCAAGAAATTTCTTAGGGACTGGAAATGGGTTGAATTGTTCTCAAGTTGAGGCAAGTGTTTTTGCTTGTTTATTTTTGGAGGAAATGTTTTTTTTACTATTCAATTAATTATGACAGCTTGTTTTAGAGAACTTTGGAAGGACTGAATAATACCCACTTTTATTTACCCAAGAGGATTCTTAGGAAACTGTGATATATTGTAGAATGTGTTTAATAAATTTGTTTTTCTTATATAGTGCATCAGAAAGTGGTTGAAACTGATTTAGAAATATTACTTTTTAAATAAAGTTAATCTTTTCCTGATTTTTATGTGATTTTTTTAACCTAGGTTATCTTATAGTCACTAAACTTTTTCAGCTGCACCTTTAAGAAAATTCTTTTGTTTTCACACTGAGATTCTCTGAGTACCTTAAGGTCATTGATGGCTAAATCAAAGATGACAGGTTCACTGAATAAGGACTGTCAGCAATCAGAGAAACAAGTTAAACAAGATATTTTACTGGTCAGTCTATTTAAAGAAAGCACACCACCAACATTCCAGAGGAGACAGCCTAACAGCTTTGTTTTGAGAAGGAACCGAGGCTTCATTTCTCATAATTCCACACTTTCTTTAAAGAATATAATTCTACTAAGACATCAGATTTTGATTTTAAATTGCAGTCTCTCCTAGTTGATCGCATCCCACAGTATATATTTTCCCACTAGTGTTATCAATTATAGATCAATTTTAGATAACTTTACTCCATTTTAGAGGAACATTTCTTCCTATCTGCAAATGATCAAATTAACATTAGACAAATGGACAAAAGTGTTTAACAATAACATGTGTACCATATACCACCTGTTCAATGAATACAATTGAGTAGCTCTTTGAAATGGTGCAAGTCATTTAGCTAGCTTCAGCTTAAGATGTAAGATGCTAGGGGTGGGGAAATAGGAGGGCCAGGGGCATTTAAGTTGCTCCCTTCCATCACTGATGAGTCAAAGAGATTTGATCTTCTTGGATCACTCTTATAAATGGAGATTT